TAAAAAAAGGGGTAGCAACTAGCCGTACGACTCCTTACAACGCTAGAGGAAATGGCCAGGCTGAGAAGTACAGTGGGACTATTTGGAAGACAGTGCTGCTAGCTCTTAGGACGAGAGGCTTAGATGTATCCCAATGGGAAGTTGTTCTTCCTGATGCTCTATTCGATCACTGTTGTGTACCTCTACAAATTGTACACCACATGAACGATTCTTCCAGCATACAAGAAGATCAACTTCAGGGCGAGCACTACCTACGTGGCCTGCTTGCAGAGGCCCTGTCCTCCTAAAACGTCAAGTGCGGCAAAGCAAAAATGATCCTCTAGTTACAATACAATACAATACAATACAATACAATACAATACAATTTTATTTAGGTAAGGTACATACATACAATAAATATTTACAAGGATTGTTTGACTTATAGGTAGAGCTAGTACATACAATGCCTAAAGCCACTATTACGCAAAGCGTTTCGGGCATGATAAACTTAAATGACAAGCTTAATACTAATTGAGCATAATGAGTAGAATGAAAACAAGAAATGAAAACATAAATGAAAAAGCAGCACAAATACAATTATGTCGACAAACAGCGCTCTTTAAAGAAAAAAACAGACATTGGTTGACAATAGAAGGGTAAGGTAGGTTACAGGGAATTTATTAGGTATAGCTTCGCTTTTAACTTAAACTGATTGAGAGAGGTACAGTCTTTAACATGGTTGGGAAGGTCATTCCACATCCTGGGCCCCTTGATTTGTAGAGCATTTCTCGTTTGATTAAGTCGTACTCTAGGAATATCAAAACTGTATTTATTTCTGGTGTGATGCTCATGGGTTCTGATACAACCTTCTATGAAGCTTTTGAGATCAGGATTTGCATTATAGTTTAGCGTTTTATATATGTATAATACACATGAGAGAATGTGCAGTGACTTAATGTCTAACATATTCAGAGATTTAAGTAGGGGTACCGAGTGATGTCTGGGGCCAGAATTGGATATTGTCCTAATAGCAGCTTTGTGTTGAGTAATTAGAGGACGTAAGTGATTTTGGGTAGTAGAGCCCCAAGCACAAATGCCATAGCTGAGATATGGATAGATAAGGGAGTAATAGAGAGTCACCAGGGCAGGGCGTGGTACATAATATCTGATCTTAGAAAGAATGCCCACAGTTTTTGAAACTTTTTTTGATATGTTTAGAATGTGTCCCTGGAAATTAAGCTTGTGGTCAATGAGAATGCCAAGAAATTTGCCATCTAATTTGTTACAAATTTGGGTATTGTTTATTTTGAGATTTATTTGATTAGAGGATTTATTGCTAAACAGAATATAGAAGGTTTTGTCAATGTTAAGGGTGAGTTTGTTGGCAGTTAGCCACAGATGGACTTTATTTAGCTCAGTATTTACTGTGGCATTTAGAGCAAGGGGATCAGGACTGGAGTAAATCAAGGTTGTGTCGTCAGCAAATAGAATTGGTTTGAGGTGTTGGGAGGCATTTGGAAGGTCATTAATGTAGATGAGAAAGAGGAGAGGGCCAAGTATGCTGCCCTGGGGAACACCAATGTTGATGGGTAGGGTGGGAGAAATTGTATTATTCACAGAAACATATTGGAGCCTGTCAGTAAGGTAGGATTTGAGGTATTGTAGGGAGTGTCCTCTGACTCCATAATGATGTAATTTAAAAAGAAGGTTTTGGTGGTTGACAGTATCAAAAGCTTTACGCAGGTCCACAAACAACCCAACAGGGAACTCATTTTTATCAAGAGCTGTATGAATCGAGTTAAGCATACTAATAAGTGCATCGTTAGTGCTTTTTTTGGGTCTGAAGCCATATTGGCAAGGGCTAAGTATATTGAGTTTGGCTAGATATGAGTAAAGCTGCTTATAGATTAGTTTTTCAAAAATTTTTGACAAGTTTGGCAGGATAGATATAGGTCTGTAGTTGTTAACATCTGTGAGATTACCACATTTGTGGACAGGCGTTACTCTCGCTTTTTTTAGAATATCTGGGAAGGTTTGGAGTTCAAGTGACTTGTTGAAGAGCAAAGCAATAGCAGGGGCTAAAGATCTGGAGGCTTTTTTGTAAATTAAAGTTGGTATCTCCTCAAGGGCACCAGACTTGGTTTTAAGGGAAAGGATTATCTCATTGACGCCAGTGGAATTAATAGGCTTTAGGTACAGAGACTGTGGATAGTTACCTGAAAGATAGTCATTAATGTCTGTACTGGAAGATGGAATATCATTTGCAAGGGATGAACCAATGGAAGAGAAGAACCTATTGAACTCAATAGCAGAATCAGAGGCTGAAAGCTGACCATCGTTATTAGACAGGAGAGTCGGTTTGTTATTTAAAGACTTCTTTGATCCCAATATTTGAGAAATTGTTCTCCAAGTTTGTTTAATGTTGCTCTTTATTTGGGTAAATTTATCTTCGTAGTATTTAGTTTTGGCTCGTCTAATTATCTTGGATAGCATTAATGAGTAATTCTTTGAGAATTCTTTGGAGACAATTCCTAATCTATACTTCTTCTCAAGGTCATGTTTTTTATTAATAGATTTAAGTATTCCCTTTGTAAGCCAGGGATTGTTAAGCCTTTTGGTTGTGACTTGATTTGTAAGCATAGGACAGTGGGTATTATAAAGGCTAAGAGTTTTTTGAAGAAAAGATTGCACTGCTAGGTTGATGTCCACTATGTTACCTAACTCGGACTCCCAGTTGACATTATCAGCAGCAGTTATAAAATTGTCTATAGCAGTTTCATTGTGTAGTCTAAAACGTATCACTCTTGACTCAAGAGGTGGTTTGCTAATGTTAGTTAAGAGAAATGTGGGGTAATGATCTGTAGTGCTATCGGTGATTATACCTGAAGTAAGCGGAGAGGTTATGTTTGTCCAGATGTGATCGAGCGTCGTGGCAGTGCTATCAGTGATTCTAGTAGGTCTAGTGATTAAGGATATGAGGAAGCAGGAATTCATACAGTTGAGGAAGCTAACAGCAGTGGGGTGTTCAGGCTCGCAGAGGTCAATATTAAAGTCCCCTGCGATAATTAGGTGGTTTTTGTTCAGTCTGTTATCAAGTATTAGATTTTTAAGGTTTGAGTTGAATTCGGACACATCAGTGTTAGGAATTCTATAAACTGCACCCACAGTCAGGACAAACTCGGCACCCTTGACTCTGAAGCTGGCGAAGATATACTCCCCATAGCAGTCTCTGGTTCTAATTTCTTTTAAGCATGGAAAAAAAGGTTCCCAATTAGGTGTTTCTAGGTTAGGTGGTTCGGAACGTTACTTAAAGCTAGATGGGGTGAATGTAGTAAAAGTGTTATTATATTATTGTACCCGGATGGATGCTCGCTTGACTGTTTCGTTTGGATGCTCGCTTGACTGTTTTGTTGTTGTCAGATCAGCTGTGTCGTGCCTGTGTACAGGTTAGTTTATGTTATCTCCTAGTTTAATATCTATTTGTTCTAGCGTTAGTCATGTGCAGTTTGCTTATTATTATATATATCTTATGCACTGTTAGTCTTTATAAGTATTGTATATTATATGGCTTGTGTTATTACAGGATGTAACTGTACTGTAATTATTTGTTCAATAAAGCCACATGTCTGGCAATGCTTCTCCTTTACCTCAATGACCATTCTCAATGGTGATCACTATTTTGATATGTAATAATGTTCACGTGTATGCTGCTCTGTTATTCTTGTATAAATTATTATGTTATATAATGATGTGTTGTTGAGTGAGTGTTAACTGCTTGTTTGGCGGTCGTCGAAGTTGCTGTCATTATCCCCCCCCCCCCCGTTGCCTATTCCCTTGCCTGAGTGTTAGTCAAAGTTACCAACTCAGTTTGTGAGTTGTTAGTTATTCTATGTTATGTATATTTGTTGATAATATAATTTGTGTATTATTACTTGTGTCGTGAACATCTGTGTACATTCCACAGTCGTATAATATACGTTAAGCATGTATGGTTTAGTTTCTGTACTCCGTGTGGAGTTTTATATGATAGCACAATGTTGGTACTGTGGGTTGACCCAGGTGCCAGTGAGCCGGTCCCTTCATTGGTGTGTGGGTGGTGGAGAGAGTAGCACATGTGTGTGTGATCTCGGTTTATTTGTTAATATCTTTTGTTGACTTGTTGCCAGTATTTTGTAAGGAGGATTATTATTATTCGTGTGGATCAGTTTTTCATAATGTTTTTACGATTATATATTTGTAACTTTGTGATGGTGACTTGTGTTGTTATTTTAACCGTTTTGAGAACATTGTCATTATTTTGCCTGTGTGAACATAGCCGCTGGTGAGGACTTTGTGGACTTGGACAAATTTCCTGGTTTGTGGACTTAGCCGAATTTCCTAGCTATTGGACTTAATCAAATTCCTGGTTTGGGGACTTAGTCTTCCGAGAGGAGATTTCTGAGTTTGCCACGTTTCCAGACATTGTAACTTACGTTGAAGACGAATAAATGATTGCCATTTGTCAGTCCAGTTGGGATTTCTGAAGGCAGGAGAGAGGACTTTGTCTTGTGATATTGATGTCCATACTGAGACTTTGCCCTACTCTGGTATAGTAACGTCACTACTCACCATGTTCATAACCTACAGCCAGTCTGAAGCTGCCTAGTGTACCACTGTCATGCGGTGATCTTGGCGGAGTGACATCTAGTGCTGCTTGACCTAATTGATTGGTACTAGTTGTGGAGATATATATGGATAATGTTGTATATAAAGTGGTGTCATGTAGATATGTTTGCCCCAGTAAACTGGTGAATTTTACCCAAACTTTCCCTTTACCCTATACATATTTACCTGTTAATGTTGGAGGCAAGATGGCTAATTGATTATTGATGGAAAGTTCTAGTCCACGAGCCTTACTGTGGATTCGTGACACGAAAGATACAATGACTACTTCACCATGTCATACAATGACTACTACATCATGGTGATACAATGACCACTTCACCATCGTACTCATGAAGGTTGCATCATAAAATAATATATTGTACTTGAAACCAGTTCTTTATTACTAACACGAGCACGTCAGTTTGCTTCAAGTGGAGACAACTATATAATGACATACAAGTATCAACGCGAGAGGTATACATGCTTGAAAGACTTCGTTATCACACTCTGAGCTTATATACTAGCGAAGGTTGTAGCTGTCGAGGTGAGGGAGGCGTCACACTACAGGTACTTGAAGTCGATACCTAGTCACATGTATTGACGTCAGCAGCAGGTGTGTTGAGACCTGTAGGGGAGGAGGGGGTGGAGAGTGCGTGCATGGGGTGAGTGTGGTCAGATGTTTGCGTGAGCGGCCGTAATGAACACGGTAGGATGGTGATAGACGGCTCAGGCAGGCATGGGGACCTTGTATTTGCACGGCGAGGTAATAATGGCTTGGTCACGGCTAGGCTTAGCCGTGGCGCCGCCAGAAAACACAGACACGTCTAGGTGTGGTGATGGGCGTGCGGGCGTGGCAGGAGAATGGGAAGGCGGTGAATGCCATACATGCTGGCCGAGGTGAAGAGTCTCAACCCGAGCAACCTGAGGGCGTGGCGGCAGGGTGTCTGGTAGCTCTGCATCTCCCTGAAGGGTGTCTTGAAGCGCCACATGCGTGCCTGATACTTGAGGTTCCTTGTGGTGCCATAGGTCCCCCCCGCGTGACTCTCTGACTCGTGAGCTGACGTGAGGCGGCCGTGATCTGATCCTGTGAGTGCTGAGCCCTGGCTGGAGACACTCAGCATCAGCAGGCGCTTCTCTGGCACGGGGAGATGCAGGAAGGCGAAGAGCTCCCTGACGGAGGTGTCGATATCCTCCAGCAGCGACTCGTATAGCACCATCTTGAAGCTTGAAGAGGAAGAGAAAGGCAGGGTTAGCAACATGGAAAGCCATTTTCACAACAGTACTGAGGTTATTGGTTAATATGACCTGAAGGGATGAACAGACAGCAGCCTCGCATTGACCATTATTATAGACTGTGGGTTGGTTGGTGTTGTCGTCGTTGATCCTTCTCAACGGACAACCCAACCCACAACTCGGTAGAGTGCTTATACTTCACTAGGAGATCACACTAGGCGCTTCTGGCTCTTGGAGAGGGGCTCAACGTCACACGTTTAGGGGATGCGGCTCCAACACTCAGCCTCGTTGTCACGTGCACACACCCACTCGAGCCGCTGTGACTCCCCACTCTCTCCTTATGAGATATGATCTCAATCCCCTATGACTTACTAGTATTACCTCCTACCCTGTCCACAGCAGTGGTTCTTGGTTCTTTCTCTCTCCTTCTTTACTACCTCCTGGGAAGCCTCACTAGGACAAGGGCAAACACCAGCAAATTGTGACACATTTACTTGACAAAGCACATACACGATACATACACACATATAATAATAATGAATCCTATACTCTATAATATCACAATCCGGTTGCACTCCAACACCATCAGAACTCTATTATCAGCTTATCAAGGGGTATCCTATCTCCTGGTTCGCCACCTGATACCATTAACCTCCTCAAGTTGGTCAAGCCTACATACACTGTTGCACTATCAGCAAGATAATGTATATATAGAAAATCAGCATTTGAATGCAATAACATATACCAGTATAAATGTTCATTGATACTTCAGTATAAAAAACTCCTTGACATAAGAATGCCAACAGTCACTCACCTCTCACTGCGTCTTGCACGCTAATGACAACCAAACACTATCAACTCCCTACTAGTAATCCACCAGAACTTCCCCTTCCACCTCTGGAAGTTCACTACCCTAATATCTTTAGGTTCTGCCGGGCTTCACTACCAGGATCCTCTGCAGCTCCTCCAGGCTGCTATCATGAAGTTTCCTTGTGCAACTACGGTGCTTCACCCTTCTGTTAGGTTCTTCCACAGCTCTCTTGGCTGCTACACCACCTCTACAGAAGCACGTGACACTCCTCTTCACTGCTGCTTCTCCTCACAGCTCGAGGTCCTCTGCTCCACTACCTTGGAGTCTCATCAGCTACATCATCTGCTGGCTTCGAAGTTCTCAGCAACTTCTTCCCCAAAGACAAACCACAGATTAACTGATCGAGGGCGCTTTCCCTCTGACGGCGTCTGGTCAGGGCGCTCCCACGGCCCACAATAATGCTTCTGGGCGATTTAATATCTGCTCGTCGACCAGGACTTGAGACCACAACGTTCCCAGCTCGATTCCACAGCTGGTACGTCCGCACACTTCTCTTCTCTTCGAGATATATCACTAGGGGTTCCCTTCTGGCGGGAGCTCAACGGAGCGCGGCTTCCCCCTGCGATGTCTGGCACTCAAGTGAGGTCAAGGTCCTCCAGAAACGAGCCTCACGCCTCCAGCAAAATGTCCACATCTCCTAGCCAGTCATTTATCTATTTTCTTCTGCATTGCCCATAATCTCAAACCGTTACACATATCCAACCAACTATTTTACATATGCGTTATCACCTCAATATTTGCTAGACCTTCTAGTTAGGTCAGGCTTGCTGAATAACTCTCAAGAAGGGAGACTCGTTTCTCCTGCAGGCTGAGATCATAACACCATGTCCGCCATCTTGGCAGCGTTTCTGACTCTGGCTCATTTCTTAATATGCAAATAATACCAAGAAATAAACAACGGTCATGGACCAGCATTACCTTGTCACCCAGCATTACATAGTCAATCTGTCCTCCTACAAATTACGTCTGAATTTGGCCGTTTTCCCGTGTGGCCGAAAATGGACGTAATATGAAAATGAACAAAATGAAAATAAATTAGAGATTTCAAAAAAACAAAAAGTAAGTTAAGGGTCCGCTGGTAGGTGAGGAGGGGGAAATTCTCCTAAGGTTTCAAAACGTCATAAAAAATGTTAATTGAAAGTGACGTCTCCTAACCTAACAGATTAAGCCTTTCTCTCTCTCAAACAGAAAAATACTTACAATATTTCGTGAGCTGATTTCATTTCAAATTATGTCCATTTTTGGCCATAGAGCACATACGAGCGAAAAGCAATGTTATTTTTAAGAGAACAGGTTGCCCTGCAAACGTCTTATGTATGGAGAAGAGGCTCAATGTCACCTTATTTGGGGAGTCTACTCAATTCTGGCCTATTTGTCATGAGTATATACACACCCTGCTGAGCCACCTGAACTCTTAGTTGGGACTTCCAGTTCCAGTTCCTCTGTATAATTATTATGTCTGCTGTCCATCTATCTGCAACTGTTTCTCTCTCGCTCTCTCTAAAAATCCTTACAAGAACAAGAGCAAAAACCAGTTGTCTACAAACATTTATTACACATAAGCATAAAGAATAAAGTAATAGAACAGCATATTAGCATCAGGTTAAACGAACTAGCATCGCGGACAGCACGCTGGACACGTGATCCTGTGGTCCCGGGTTCGATCCTGGACGCCGGTGAGAAACGATGGGCAGAGTTTCTTTCACCCTATGCCCCTGTTACCTAGCAGTAAATAGGTACCTGGGCTTCCTGGGGACCTCCTTCCTGGATATAGTCCTGGGGACCATTTAGGCTTGTTCGCATTTGTGTTCCTCACGTGTGCCCCAAAGAATGAGGTGATTTGATAAAATACCATGCCCAAGATTACCAACCGAGTGCCGGCGGGGGGATGGAAATAGCCTCGGCTACCATCCTCTTTTGTCCGGTCGTGTTGGTCGAGTGGTTAAGGGATCCTGTACGCCAGCAGAGTGCTCCTGGCAGTATGGGTTCGAGTCACTTCTGGGGTGGGAGTTTTCAGTTGCATATACAACTGGGGACCAATCAGGCTTATATATATATATATATATATATATATATATATATATATATATATATATATATATATATATATATATATATATATACATATATATACATATATATACATATATATACATATATATATATATATATATATATATATATATATATATATATATATATATATATATATATATATATATATATATATATATGTCGTACCTAATAGCCAGAACGCACTTCTCGGCCTATTATGCAAGGCCTGATTTGCCTAATAAGCCAAGTTTTCCTGAATTAATATATTTTCTCAAATTTTTTTCTTATGAAAGGATAAATCTACCCATTTCATTATGTATGAGGTCAATTTTTTTTTATTGGAGTTAAAATTAGCGTAGATATATGACCAAACCTAACCAACCCTACCTAACCTAACCTAACCTATCTTTATAGGTTAGGTTAGGTTAGGTAGCAGAAAAAGTTAGGTTAGGTTAGGTTAGGTAGGTTAGGTAGTCGAAAAACAATTAATTCATGAAAACTTGGCTTATTAGGCAAATCGGGCCTTGCATAGTAGGCTGAGAAGTGCATTCTGGCTACTAGGTACGACGTGTATATATATATATATATATATATATATATATATATATATATATATATATATATATATATATATGTCGTACCTAGTAGCCAGAACTCACTTCTCAGCCTACTATGCAAGGCCCGATTTGCCTAGTAAGCCAAGTTTTCATGAATTAATGTTTTTTCGTCTACCTAACCTACCTAACCTAACCTAACCTAGCTTTTTTTGGCTACCTAACCTAACCTTACCTATAAAGATAGGTTAGGTTAGGTTAGGTAGGGTTGGTTAGGTTCGGTCATATATCTACGTTAATTTTAACTCCAATAAAAAAATTGACCTCATACATAGTGAAAAGGGCAGCTTTATCATTCATAAGAAAAAAATTATAGAAAATATATTAATTCATGAAAACTTTGCTTATTAGGCAAATCGGGCCTTGCATAGTAGGCTGAGAAGTGAGTTCTGGCTACTAGGTACGACATATATATATATATATATATATATATATATATATATATATATATATATATATATATATATATATATATATATATATATATATATATATATATATATATATATATATATATATATATATATATATATATATATATATATATATATATATATATATATATATATATATATATATATATATATATATATATATTTATATATATATAACAGTGTCAGACCACGGAGGAAGAATTGAAAAAAGAATCCTCCTCCGTGGGCTGACACTGTCACATTTTTCATCACATGTTAATTTTCGTGATTTACACACACATATATATGTGTGTGTGTGTGAAATTTAATATATATATGTATATATTTTAAATTTCACCATCTAACGTCTTACTCCGTGCGCTAATCTGACTGAGGTGAATACTAGTCCTCCATTCTTAACACATCCACACTGAAATCCTCCTCTGACGGGCGCTAGAGCTCTTCCCCTCAGTCATTCACCGACTTTAGACAAGCGAACGTGTATCACTCCCACCTCCATAATGTCAAATCATCTCACTATTTTCATAAACTCTCTAACATACATTCATAAACGTCCTCAACGATCGCTGGGCACACGATCAATCAATAACAAGCAATATATCACGGTATACTGGGCGCTTACTGCAGAAAGACTGCGACGATGCTTGTCCACTGGCGCTTCAAAATGATACTACTCCTTGTCGTCCACCAATCCTCTTGGACTGCCACTAAATGCTTCTTCCAGTCCCGACTTGAGTATGAGAAGTCCCCTTAACAGGTTCCACACAGTGATCAAAGTGATGTACTGTCTCGTTTTCTGTTTGAGTCGTGTGGCTTACTCGGAAAGGTTAGGAGAAGACACTCAATTAACGTTTTTCTTGACGTTTTGAAACTTTAGGAGAATTTCCTGCCCACCTAACCAACCAGAGGACCTTTAACTTACTGTTTCAGAAAAAAATCCCAAATTTATTTTCAATATTTTTTCACTTATAAATTTCGTCCATTTTCAGCCATACGGGCAAATGGCCAAACTCAGAC